CTTAAAATCGCAGGCGATTCATTGCCGATTATGAACATCTCACTGTTCATTTCTAGTCTTTGAAATTCTATTCTGAATAAAGATTGTAGATACATATTTTTGTAGAAATCTCTCAAATAATGCTTTGAACACAAAGTTGTATTTTCACATGTCCAGGAGTCCTGCATGTTCATGTGAACATGTATTATCATCACTTCTCTTTTATTTTTATCTCTCTCTCTATCAGAGGAAGTGGGCGTCTCTCTGTCACAGTCAGCAGTTCATGTTAATTAGGAAAGAAACACTCAGAACTCATCTGAACACACATAGAGAGTTTCAGAAGAACTGATCTAACAACAGAGAAGATCATTGAGTAAGAGAGAAGAATGAAGATCATCTGGACTTTCACTCTGCTGATGATTCCTGGTAAGAAACTGTACTCACAGTAAATCACTCAAAACAGCACAGAGTCTTTAACTTCAGTTTAGTTTATATGAAAGTTAATCTGTTCATTCTCATATAAATATATCAGTTGTATTAAGAAGCTGGTTTGATGTAGGTGCCGTGAGCTCCATCAGTGTGGGAGGATATTCAGGAGGAGTCATCATCACATGCAAATATGATAGAGAATATACAGTGAATGCAAAGTATTTTTGTAGAGGACAGTGGTCAGAGTGCACAGACCGAATCAGGACCAATATTAAAAACAAATGGGTTGATTCTGGAAGATTCTCTCTGTTTGACGACACAACAGCAGCAGTTTTCACTGTGACCTTCAGAGATCTGAGTGAACGGGATTCTGGGACGTACCAGTGTGGAGTTGATATCTCTGGAATAAAAGATTCTCACACTGAAGTGAATCTGAACGTTGTAACAGGTGAGTAACTGAGACTCTCAAACTCATGATGATCATCAACATCACACACTCAACACTGACTGTAATTACTGCGGTTCACATGTAATTGTTTAAAACCAGAAAATCAATAAACAGGACAAATATAATGTATTATTATCTTGCAATATCAGGTTTACACTACAATTAGTAACCACATATGAATGAATGAAGAGGCAGAGACTGTGTGTGTGTGTGTGTGTGAGCGTGCGTGCGTGCGTGCGTGCGTGTGTGTGTGTGTGCACCTGGTATTCATCACGTTATGGGGACCAAATGTCCCCACAAGTATAGTAATACCAGTAAATTTTGACCTTGTGGGGACATTTTTGAGGTCCCCATGAGGAAACAAGCTTATAAATCATACAGAATGAGTTTTTTTGAGAAAGTAAAATTGCACAAAGTTTCCTGTGAGGGGTAGGTTTAGGGGTAGGGTTGGTGTAGGGCAGTAGCACATACAGTTTGTACAGTATAAAAACCATTACGCCTATGGAATGTCCCCATAAAGTGCGTGTTCCTGTTAGTTTGCATGCGATAGCTCATTAGTGCAAGAGGTAATGCATCAATCCAATTAAGTTTAGTACTTTCACATATTTTGTTAATTTTGGCCTTGATAGTTCCATTAAGCCTTTCGACGGACCCTTGTGCCTGTGGATGGTAAATGCACCCTAGTCTCTGTTTTATTCTTAATTGTTGCAATACTTGTTTTACAGTTTTTTGTTTTTTGTTTTTTTTTAGTATAAATGCCGACCCATTATCTGAACTTATTTCTGATGGTATTCCAAATCTAGGAATTAGTTATCTTGTTATAAATGTAATTACTGTTCCTGCTCCCAGATCTGCTGATGGTACTACCTCCACCCACCTGCTAAATCTGTCTATGATCACAAACATGTATCTTTTTCCTTGTACTCACTTTATCTTATCCACATAGTCCATTACCAAATGCTTAAGGGCCCTGCTGCTACTGGTATATGGCCTATTGGTGTCGCTATCCCTTTCCTTACATTGTATTTGGCACAAACTTCACATGTGGACAAAAATTCATCCACCATTGCATATAAATAAGGAGACCAATATCCTTGCTGTTTAATTTTCCTTATCACTTCCCCCTTGCGCGATGGTCAAAACCATGCGCATCTGCCATAAGAACATTCAAAAGTGAAGTAGGTGCTACAATGTTTCCTTCATGTGTTCGCCAGATCTCTTGTGAGTCTTTTTTTAGCTCCCCTTTGGTGCCACATTGATTGTTCATACACTAAACCAAACAAACAAAAACACAACAAGAGAATATCACAGCCCAAGCTCACAAAGCCGGCTTTCACATACACTGGCGTTTCCCTTATATAGCACAGCTGGACGTCAATCAGCGAGCGCGATGGAAGAACAACCCCCTCCCGTCATCACACCCAATCAGCTCATCCCGAATGATTGACAAATGAGCCGACCAATCCGCGCGTCACCTGCAAAAGTGTAAGTAAATGGGAGAGAGAGAACGCGACAGGGGAAAAAACTCAAGCAAAAGAACACAAAATCTAAAAATAAATACTCAAACGACAAGTCAGCGTCACATAGGGACGTAACATATATAAATAAAAGCTCTGATAAAAACGTAAAACTAAGTCTTTGGAATAGAATCATTTTGTCGAAATCTCTTTGAAATAACACTTTATAATGAGTTTTATGTATGTGAGTCCTGCATCTCAATATAAAGCATTTGTAAAAAACAAGGTTTACTTCCCTCTTTTTTTAACCATCTCTCTACCAGAGGAAGTGGGCGTCTCTGTCACATTCATCAGTTCATGTTAAACATGTAACCAGGAAAGAAACACTCAGAACTCATCTGAACACACATCGAGAGCTTCAGAAGAACTGAATCTACTAACAACAGAGAAGATCACTGAATAAGAGAGAAGAATGAAGATCATCTGGACTTTCACTCTGCTGATGATTCCTGGTAAGAAACTGTACTCACAGTAAATCACTCAAAACAGCACAGAGTCTTTAACTTCAGTTTAGTTTATATGAAAGTTAATCTGTTCATTCTCATATAAATATATCAGTTGTATTAAGAAGCTGGTTTGATGTAGGTGCCGTGAGCTCCATCAGTGTGGGAGGATATTCAGGAGGAGTCATCATCACATGCAGATATGATAGAGAATATACAGTGAATGCAAAGTATTTTTTGTAGAGGACAGTGGTCAGAGTGCACAGACCGAATCAGGACCAATATAAAAAACAAATGGGTTGATTCTGGAAGATTCTCTCTGTTTGACGACACAACAGCAGCAGTTTTCACTGTGACCTTCAGAGATCTGAGTGAACAGGATTCTGACACGTACCATTGTGGAACTGATATTTAGGCAAAAATAGATTCCTACTACACTGAAGTGAATGTGAACGTTATAAGAAGTGAGTAACTGAGACTCTCAAACTCATGATGATCATCAACATCACACACTCAACACCGACTATAATTACTGCTGTTCACACATGAAACCCATAAAATATAATAAATAACTTCTACATAACTAAATAATATCTCCTCATGTAATATTGACACTCATAAGTGATCTTGACCTGCATTCATTAATGCTGCAGCAGATATGTTCAACATTTAAGTGATTGGATACGTGTTCATTGAGTACAAGGCAATAGATTATCTGGGTTTGTGCTTAACAGATGAAAAAAATCAGTGCTGTGAGAGGATATTCTGGAGGAAACGTCATTATAAACTACAAATATGAGATGAATCATGAGAACCATGAGAAATACTTCTGTAAAACTGGTATTCAAAAGTGATGTAGGTGCCACCATGTTTCCTTCATGTGTATGCCAGATCTATTGTGAGTCTTTTTTAGCTCCGCTTCGGTGCCACATTGATTGTTCATAAGGGCCTGCTTGTTGTTGAATTCGAATTATATTCTCTAATTGAGGTTGAGGTTCGATCAGTACTACAGGTGCTAATACTGCTACTTGACACCCTGAAGCTTTTTCAGCTTCCATATTTGCTGCATTTTTTCCCTTCATATCATCAATAACATAATCATTTCCCTTCTTGTGTGCCTGACGTTTTATTATTGCTAGTCTTTTTGGAAGCATAGCAGAAATTAATCGCCCTATTTTGTCTATTTTTTCTTTATTTATTTTTATTTTTCTTTATTTATTTTCTTTCTGGATCATATATCATTGTGCAATGAAATTCTGTTTTTGGTAGCTGTGCTTCAGGAATTTGTACTTCAATATACTTTAACAACTTATTGACTGTCTGTCTCACATCTTGTTCTATCTGTCCTGTCCAATAGATATTAGCTTTTGGCTCTGTAACCACCATTTGTGTTTCTGTTCCTATTGCTTCGATATATATTCCTTCTGGAGAACACCAAATTTGTAGCCCTAATTTACATAATGCATCTCTTCCTAACAAATTGATAGGAGTCTGATTTGATACCAGAATGGGCATTGTTATACTTT